CACCACAACCCTCCCCCACAGTCCTCGCCCCTCCCTTCACGACAGCACTGCGACCCTACCCCTTGCACGCCCCAATAGTGCCACAACTCTCATCCGCCCCCTCCCATAGTGCTACCACCTTCTTTCCTCCCCCAGACCCTCACCCTGGCCCATTCCCCCCTAGTGAGACCTTTCACTCTCCACTGACTCTGCCCTGCTTCCCTAGATCGGGTGCTGGGCGCTGGGGGCCACAATGTGCGGGACAGGGCGACCATCCGGCGGCTGAACATGTACCGGCAGAAGGAGCGCAGGTGAGGCTGGCAGCTGTCCTGGTGGGCCAGCTGAGTATCTCCAGTGGGTGGCCACTGCAGTGGAGCCAGGACAATGGGAATTCTAGCATCCCCATCCTGCCTGTGCATTTGAACCCAGAATAAAAACTTTCGAGGTGGCAGCCTTGAGTCAAGACCCTCAGGTACACAGACAGACCTGTGCTCTGAAGAACCACCGCTTTCCTGCACCAGTGGAGCAGGAGTGACTCTCCAGCAGGTCTCTTAGGTGGTTCCCAACTCACCACCCTAACCTCATGGGGCTTGGCAGCACTTGTATATCTTGGCATGCCAATAAAGACTCATTGATAATTCTTATTCTTGTCTCCTGCCTGGGTAACCCAGACATCTCCTAATCTGATTATGAGCCATAGGCAGTTATTGTTTCCAGCTGTTCACTGGTATTGATAGACTTTATGTGGGAGGAAAGGTTCATTGCGGGAGCAAATGTTTGTGTGCGCTTGTTCCATTGACACTGGCACATGCTGCCAGACATAACGGCTCCCTCCAAATATGCCTTGTGCAGTAAAACTGGCTGCCCTAAAGCCAGAGGTCATATGTTTTCTCCATAAACCGAACAGATTTGGTCCTGGTCAGTACATGGATGGCAAACTGATATCCTGGTCACACAGGGCCCTGTGGCATATTTGCAAGAATAACCCCGGCATCCTGGTGAAATTCCAGTCTGGGTGAGAACATGCTGCTTGACCTAAATTCTTCTGTTGTCTCAGTTATAAAGATTATTTTGCCATTCCAAACAGTACTGTTGCTGGCAAAAGTGCCCTTTTGTATACAGCATCTGTTTCCTTAGGGCCTTTCGTTCAGACAGACCATCACGTGGATATTGTATTGGAAGGCGTGAACTATGACCCTTGCTGTGTGGCTCTGCTGCTTATGTGTTTACACAAGCTCTCGTTTTTCATTCTTAGAAACAATCGTGGTAAAGTGATTAGGCCTCTGCAGTACCAGTCCACAGTGGCACCAGGAACAGTGGCAAGAGTGGAACCAAATATTAAATGGTTTGGTGAGTGTTTCTATCTCACAATTCAGCAAGGTTTAAATAATAGTAATTTAGGTATTCTAAGGATGATGTGGATAGTATGACCCTGTTACTTGGGGAACAAAATCCACTAGCCAAAAGATTCTAATGTGGTGGTTGATTTTTGGGGGCCCAACATGAGATGCCTTAAAGAGGACTCGTTTTCAGAGCATGGGTTCCCAACTCTGACTCCTAAAAGAAGTCTAAAAACACTAGGTTTGCATGTGCTTTCTGCCCAGTGTGGGAACATGTGAAGGTGCAAAGTTTATTTTTCCATACCAGGAAATACTCGTGTGATCAAGCAGTCATCCCTGCAGAAATTCCAAGAGGAAATGGAGACTGTTATGAAGGATCCATACAAAGTGGTCATGAAGCAAAGCAAGCTGCCGATGTCACTTCTCCATGATCGAATTACACCTCATGTGAGTATTGTGCATCTCCTCACACAAAAGACCTCTTCAGATGGTTCTGGGCAGGGGCCTTAATTCCTAGGTTTGTTTTCTGGAGTAATATCTATGAGTGGCCGTATTGCATTTGTTCAGTTGGTGCAGAGCTGTGTGGTGTCCTATGGTGGCAGACTTGTCTCCCCCAGTCTGTATCAAGGTCTCTTCTCTGGTGGAGGAAAGATGGATGCAGTTCTTTGGGTGCCTGCTGGTACCATTGTGTCAGCCTGAAGGAATCTCAGTGATCTGAGGTTTCCTAGCAGCTTACTCTCTCGGGCTGTCATAAGCTAAGCCAGGGATGGGAAACCTAAAACCTGGGGGCTGAATGCGGGGGCTCCCTCCTTCCCTCAGCATTGGGGAGCCCACGCTGGTGCTCCAGCCTTCCCACCATCCCCCCATGGGGGTGGAGCAGGCAAAAACTACTAGCCTGGGCCCCCCAAGGCTCTAGTGTTCAAGGAGAATGTGGGAACTGTCTTTCTCCTTCTCAGTCAAGTGCCACATCAGTGAGGGTTTGATTTTTTTATTTTGTTGGTGTGTTGTTGTTTTTTTTTTTCACTTGTGTGCGGCTCCCGACTGATTTATTTATTGGTTTGTTTGTTTGTTTTGTGGGTCAGCAGCCCAAAAAAGGTTCCCCACCCCTAAGCTAAGCAGTGTATCTTGCTATCAGTATTTGGGTGGGAAAGTACAGAGTGCTGCAGAAAGTGTTGTTGATGTTGATTTCAGGTATGTCTGTACTTTGAGCTTAGGATGTGCCACTTCCCAAGAATACTTGTTCCAGTGAGGCACCTCATTACCACCTGTTCTTAGCATGAGAGAGTCTTGTCTGCCTGCCGGGGTCAGCTCCTTGACTTCATCAGCCACAGCCTCTCAGTCTATTGCAAACCTGCAAAGAGATGTGCTCACATGTGTGCATAGATGTGCTCACATTCTTGAGTCCTGTTGGTGTCCCTCTGGAGTTCCTAGCCCCTAATCTACTAACACTCGCAGAATTCCCAGATCCTCTGTTCCCAAAGGAACACTACTCTCTAGTTTACCAGTTACACTATAGCTCACAGCTCTGCTTAATACACAGCACTTGGCTTTTTGAATAGAGGAAAGCAAAATAAATGTATTTAACAGAATACAGATCTAGCATGTTCGAGGGTGTAAATTTTACTAACAAGATGCCCTCTTGTCTAATAAGGTATTGGTTACTCCAAGTCCTTATCACCACTTTTTTCAGAACTGGCTGTGCCATGCCACTTCTAATATTTACCAGCGAAATTGGTGGGGCACTTTTCACATGCCTTGGGGTATGTCTACAGTACTACCCTAGTTCGAACTACAGTGGTTAATGTAGGCAACCGAAGTTGCAAATGAAGCCCGGGATTTAAATATTCATTTGCATCTTACCAGGCGCCGCCATTTTTAAAGCCCCTGTAGTTCGGACTCCGTGCCCGCGGCTACACGCGGAACGGAGTAGGTAGTTTGGATTAGGCTCTCTAATCTGAACTACCGTTACTCCTCGTATCCCGGGCTTCATTTGCAACTTCGGTTGCCTACATTAACCACTGTAGTTCGAACTAGGGTAGTACTGTAGACATACCCCGCAGAGTAGTTACTAGTAGTGTTTCTGTTAGCAGAAACCAGACACACTAATCAAACAAGTTCAAATAACTTCCCTCCTAGCACAAAATAGACATTAAGGCACAGATATTTCCTCATATTCAGTCAGCAATAGAGAGTAAATCAATACCCCATATTCTGGATTTCAGGTTAAATGCAGCTCTGGGCTCCTGCTTATGAGCAGGCAAAGGTGGTTGTATTGCTGGGCTTCTTGGTTCGGTGATTGGTAAGAGTTTGGTTCCCTGTTCGACACGAGAAGGCCTGGGGCTAGGTTCTTGTTGGGCTGCTTCTTTGCCCTTGAATATTCTTGGTGGGTTGCAGTGCTGTGAACTCAGGCTGGTGCTAGCAGTACTTCGAGTGGGTTACTGCACTAGAATATTTCCTAGGGATTGGGAAGATTTGTACAATAAATATGAATGAAATGAAACAAGTGTATTAGCTGCTTGTAACCAATAAGAAGGTCTGTATTACCCATTGGGACTTATCTCTTTTGGAAGGAAATTTGCCTTAAAACAGTTAGTGTTAAAATGCCACAGGGTAGGATGGCTGTGGCAGCATGTTCCCATACTGTCTCTGGTTCTTGTGCTTGTGATGGCAAAAGAGAACCTGAGGATGAGTTCTTGAGGGTGCTGGTCTCACCCTTCTTCCTCCTGTTGCATGTTAGAGCCTAACTCAAATTAGAGTCTTTTTATTCTGAGTCAAAAATTCTTGTGCATATAACTTTCTCTCAGGCACATCAAGTTTTAGTTAGGATTAAGTTTCTCTTATCCATTATTTTGGATTCTTGCTAGAGTTTTTCATATAAAGACTTTACATGTGCATCTAATAAAATTTTTTACCTAAATTAAGGGAAATGTTATCTGAAACTAAAATGCACATTGAAAATGAGTGATTCTTTTCAGCCATGAAGTAGATTCATTTCCAAGAAAATATTGGCATTTGTAGTTGGTCTAAAATAAAACTATGAATTTGAGCATGATTATTCTTGACAGAATCTGTGAATTTGGCGAGATTTGTGCACTTGTTAGAAAAACAAAGGACTGATCAAAGATAACAGTTTAATTTTCATCCTTGTAGTCTTAAACATATTTGACTAAGTTTATGATAAAAGAACTAAAACACAGTTCTTTGGCAAGTGTAACACAATTTGTTTGCTTTGCTTTTTATTAAATATTTATTCTCGTATTTCTCAAAGGGAGTTAAGAAAAACTCAAGACTCACACGGAAAATGCATACAACTCTTGTTGTGACAGGCTCTTTGGAACGTAACTCAGCTGTAGTATGTTGTATGTTTTGAGCCATGGCAATGTTAAGGCATGTTTTTATTCCTTTTTGCCAACCTATCTTCCCTCAGAATTCCAAAGTCCACATTCTTGACACAGAAGCTTTTGAAACGACCTTTGGCCCCAAATCGCAAAGGAAAAGACCAAATCTTTCTGTAAATGATGTGCAGTCTCTGCTGGAGAATGCTGAGGCCTCTGTAGGGACCTACGACCAGGGCAAGGACCGAGACCTGGTGATGGAAGATACTGGAGTAAGGTAAAAAGGACAGAGCAACTTAGCTTTACCCTTGAAAGTGTCCACTGTGCTCCTAGTATTACACACTTTTTTGGAGGGGAGGGGCAGAAGCTACAGAATACAAGAGGCTGAGGAGAACTTAGACTATTTAAAGTGTCCATCATGGTCGATATTTGACTTGGATTTTTTCTCTTGTTGTCTCTTTGCTTGCATAGTTACCCTAGTGGTTGCTTCTGTGTGCATGTAACCATTCTACTTACAAGTATAATTTATGATGTAGCATCTTTGAATATCCACCAATGGTGTCGTGAGAGTAATAGGAATCCAGTAAGTGCACAAATACAGGCACATAAAAAGGCCTATCCGTTTGTAACCTCTTTATAAGTATTCTTTCTGCATATTCCTAGGCTGATCAGGACAGTCTAAAACCCAAGTATTTTTCACTTTGGCCTCATCTCCTGCATGTGTAGATGATGTCAGAGAATGTATCATCCAGGTATTTCAGCTGCTGACGTATGTTTGATAATCCACTTCTTAGAGATGAAGCACGTGAGGAGATCTACAAGAAGGGACAGTCCAAAAGAATCTGGGGTGAGCTTTACAAAGTAAGTGTTGCCATGCAGAGGCTGAGACAGATGTTAAATTTGCTATCACCCAGCCCAGTGCAGCAGTACACATGCCTGCGCAAACTAGTAGCTCTACAGAACAGTGATTGGGATGGCTTTGTGAAGACCCTTTGTTGATGGAGCTGGATGGTAAAAACCAAGTATGGAATGTACAACATGCCTCAGGTGGCATGTGGCCAGAATTAATCACCAAATTTGGTGTGCTGGGTGGATCATTAACTTCCCCAACCCAGGCACTGATGGGTAGGATGACATGAATGTTGCTGTACACCCCCTCCCACGTAGGGATGTTGACATGTAGTCAAATATATGATTAACCGATAAGCCTAGGCGTATCAGAGGCAGCAATGTGGAGAGTGGGGAAGCAGGAGCCAGTGCTGCCTCCCATCCCCTGTACTGCTGCCGCCTCTTTCAGAGGCAGCAGCAGGGGGAACAGGGGCAGGGTAGGTGAGGCTGCCATGAAGCAGCCTCTGTCCAGCGGGCCTGAGCTTGCCGTAGAACAGAGGCTGCTCCACCTCCCAATGAACCTGGGCCTGCTGCAGATAGAGGCTGGTCCCTGGCAGCAGCCCCTGTCCATGGTGAGTCTGAGTTCCCCACAGACAGAGGCTGTTCCGTGGGAGGCAGAGCAGCCTCAGACGCAGGGAGCTCGGACCCCCCCTGGACAGGGGCTGCTGCCACCCCTCGCTTCTGCCTCTGTATCAGAGGCAGCAGCAGCGCAGGGTAGCGGTGGCCTCTGTCTGCATGGGAGCTGTTTTTCAAACTAGCTCTCCTTGCAGACCAGCTCCCACCTGGCACCCCATGCTGCTGCCTCTGATAGTCAAGTAACTGTGTGAATTCTATTCAATTGCCCAATACCTAACATCCCTACTTCCCTGGCATTCCCATGGTTGAAACTCACTGGAGCCATAACATAAGTGATCATTTCCCTTAGAAGGAAGGGTGGCAGATAAGTTGATTGTGTGCCTGCTCTCTCATCAGCCTGTTTCATTTGTAACATGACCCCTCTTAATCACGACATCTGGGACCGCTGTGCAACAGCAGCTAGAACCTGGGAAAAATGAGAGAGGATAGAGATCCCCACGGTCTTTATTTACTTGAATTCCTACCATAGAGAGGCAGATCTCATAAGCACATAACCAAGTCAGGGGTAAGACAAACCTTTCTTGAGTGTTCACCAAAGATAAACCATTCAGATGGTGTCAAGTTTGTTGAGGCTAAAACATCAAATTCCAGTGTTCTGGCAGAGTTTAGAAAGCTCTGCTCTTCAGCTCCCTCTGAATCCCACTAATCACACTGTAAGAGGAATGGGAAAGAGCCATGGCTACATCTAAGGTGTGTCTAGACTACCTAGTTTTGTCGACAAAAGTGGACTTTTGTCGACAAAACAATACCAGCGTCTACACTACCACGGAGTTCTGTCGACATAACGTCGACAGAACTCCGCGGTTTTGTCGACGCTGGTATACCTCATTTTACGAGGCAAAACACCTTCTGTTGACAGAGTTCTGTCGACAGAAGGTGTTATTGTCTGTAACGTTGCGTCCAGACTACGGAGTTCTGTCGACAAAGCGGCTTGCTTTGTCGACAGAACTCCATGTGTCTGGACGCAAATTGTCGACGGAAGTTTTGTCGACAGTATCTGTCGACAAAACTTCTGTCGACAAAACGCGGTAGTCTAGACGTACCCCTATATCAGGACCAGATGTTTATCCTCTTAAAGTTATGTGTGGGACACTTCCAGTCCATTTAATTAGCCTCATTAAAACAGGTCCTAAAATTGACAGGTACTTCTGCTCTGTGCGTGTGTGTGTACATACATATATTTAAAAAAATCTTGATTTCTGTTATTTCTACTCCAATTCATCTGATGAAGTTCATAATTCTATATATTTTGGTTAGTCTCCAAGGGTATGTCTATACTACAGGGCAAAGTCAAGTTAAGATTTGCAACTTCAGCTACGTTAATTGCATTGCCGAAGTCAAAGTAACTTAACTCAGCGTTTGGCTCTGTCTACGCTGCAGGAAGTTGATGGAAGAACACTCTTCGTTAGACTTCCTTCACTCCTCGTCAAATAAGGGTTACCATAAGTCGGAATAAGAAGTCCTCCAGCTTGACATTATTTTGAAATAAAGGCTTGTAGTATAAATGCACACTGTTATTTTGGAATACTGTCCGTTGCTCCAAAACAATGCTGTTGTGTAGATGTACCCTTAGGTACCACAGGACTGCTCCTTGTTTTTAAGTTACAGACTAACACGGCTGCCCCTCTGAGATCTCCTAGTGACTGTTAAACTAATGTGACATTGCTCATCTGCTTCTTGCTCTGAGGTTGTGAATGCAGCTTATAACTCATACAGCCTCCTCTCCTCAGAGAGATCTTGTAAAGGTGCTGAGACTGAAAAGGCAACCTGAACAGATTTCAATTAAATGGGTGCCAAAAATGCAAAAATAGGTGTGAGACAAGTTCACTTGGCCTGAATCAAGCCATAAAATTTCTGCTCCCTGCTGAAGGTAATTAGCTGACTTGACTGCAGGTTTCCACTTGTTTCTTGTGTGTTAATATTGATGCAAGAAATTTTATTCATTTATTTATTTATTGCATCATGTTCATCTATAAAATGGCAGCAGGGATTTTGAAATTTGCATTTGAACTGCATTTGTACTAGGGATGCGAGTGACTAGTTGACTATCCCATAAGTAAATGCTTATTCGATAGTCGACCCACCCCCTTTGCTGCCTTTATCAGACATGCTTCAAAGTGGCAGCGCTGTGAGGAGCCTGGGGCCAGACCCTGGTCTTCACACAGCATTGCTGCTTTGAAACACAACGTGCAGCACAGGGCCAGCTGCTTTGAAATGCCTCAGGGAGCATGGGGCCAGTGGGGGACTGCTTGACTTGCCCTGTACTCCCGCAACTCCTTCGCCTCGGGCTGTTGCTATCCTTGAAGACAGAGGCGCCCCCATCGACTGATTGAATAGTCGATGCAAATTGCATTGAATATTCGATTAGCCAATTAATCTAAATTTAACATCTCTAGTTTGTACTCCATTCAAGTTTTTACTAATGCCTCTGCTGTTAAACGATTGCTCTTCAACTTGATTGATGAAAACAGTGCCAGTAAAGGAACTTGATCGTATAGCCTATGTGCCACGCTTGAGTGTGAATTTTACAAAATCAAAGTGACTCTTCTAGTTTTATGCAGCATCATTTTGATTCTGTCTAATAAGGTAATTAATTAGAGCCTTTCCTTGAAGTGTTTGCAGCCAAACTGCCACAACATCATCCTTGTGCACAGGAAGCACATGGCAGTCTGTACATACAGAACAATTTCAATATCAGCCAAGGGTTCAGTGGGAAAAGTAAACACCTTGGATGTTAGTTTGACTAACCAAAGAGATCGTGTGAATTGCACATGGAGCAAGGGAAATCATAAGGTTTTTAGCTTGGCCATTTCCCCCAAGTGCTGCATTAGCTTTCAGCCTGAAGGTCCAAACTTCTCTCTCTCTCCATGGATTTTCAGGTGATTGATTCGTCTGATGTTATTGTGCAAGTTCTTGATGCTAGAGATCCTGTAGGGACTCGTTCTCCACATGTCGAATCTTATCTCAAAAAGGAGAAACCATGGAAACATCTCATTTTTGTCTTGAACAAGTGTGACCTTGTCCCTACTTGGGCTACTGTAAGTACTGTCCTTCCTGCAGTGCCTTAGATTTTCTTTGGGGTTTTTTGTAGCCTATGCTCTCATTCACGTGCCGGTCCTTATGCTACTGTTGTCAAACCAGGTACGATGTAACTGGTCAGTGGGAGCTTCTCCTCTGGGACTTCCTGCCATGGAAGTAACAGTTACACTGCAAATACACCCAAGTTGTATTTAGCTGATCAAGTTACCAGCCACAAACTCCACTACCTCTAACTGGTTGTAACCGTTCTGTTTTTCCCCTCTCATGCTAAATGTTAGCCCTCTTAAGAGCTAGTTAATCAGCTAATTGGGTTTAGCTAGCAATGAAACATTTTTGGAGAATTGTCATGAATGTATAAAATGGAAGTTAAAGCATTTGCTGTAGGGTTTGAGAAAACAATTCAAAGATCTTTGAATTCCTAGAAGATTGTTTAAAACCCAGTTGTGTGATCAAGCTAAATCGCTGCACTTTACCACAAATAAGCTTGTTGCTTCTCTGGGTCTGTAGCACAAGCCTCCTCGCTCATCTGTGTGCTTTCTCTCTAGAAACGCTGGGTTGCAGTCCTCTCCCAGGATTACCCGACACTTGCTTTCCACGCTAGTCTCACAAATCCCTTTGGCAAAGGAGCCTTCATACAACTGTTACGGCAGTTTGGAAAGGTACGTAACAGGGTTTTGTATTTTTTTTTTCCCCCCTCTTGGCTTCAAGGTGGAAAACGTCTTTCTGTAGCAGCCTAGACACTGAGCTATCCATATCAGTAGGTGTCAAGAGCCCTCATTTGAGGAGTGATTGGAATGTGCGTGCTCTCTGTTAGGAATATTGAGAATTGTACAGCACAACCCAGGCAGGCTCAAAACCTTGTCTGACCCAGATACCTACTAGCCAGAGGGTGGTATCTCTAGGGCATTCAATAAACTCCCATTAATACTACTTAGCCAACATATTCATGTATTCCTATGTCTACACTGCCCCCGTTTTGCACAAAAAATAGGCAAATGAGGCAGAGTGTGGAATATCGCCGCACCTCATTTGCATAATTACTGAGGCTCCGTTTTGGCACAAAAACCCTTTCTTGCACAAGAGCCGTTCATCCACACTTTTTTTTTTTTCAGGAAGAACGGCTCTTGTGCAAAAATGGACCCTCATTAATTATGCAAATGATGCGTGGCAATATTCCATGCTTTACCTCATTTGCATATTTGCGCAAAACGGGCAGTGTAGACATAGCTGTTGAGGGGAAGAATATACTTGAGGCTCATTTATGCCTTGCAAATCAGTAACTTAAGACATCAGTGAGTAGCTTTTCAACAGCTGAAAATGCAAATGATTCATTTCTTACTCTTCAAGCAAGGGTTATGGACTGTTTCCTTGAAGTGAGTTCTTTGAAGGCCTGTTAGCTGTGATAAATTTCTCTTATTAGGGGGACCCTCTTCCTGGTCCTTGTGCTCAGGTCTGCTTTGGGACTGTATTTGCTTTCCATTTCTAAGAACAATTGTTGAGAATCCATGTTTTGGAATTTTAATAGCAACCAAGTTTTTCCTACACAAGGCGTTTGTAAATATGTGTACTTTCTTAACAGTTGCACATGGACAAGAAACAGATCAGTGTGGGCTTCATTGGCTACCCAAATGTTGGCAAGAGCTCAGTGATTAATACATTACGATCCAAGAAGGTCTGCAATGTGGCCCCCATTGCAGGTGAAACAAAGGTAGGACTTCCACATAGTGCGCAGCTTCCTGGGGATGAGCAATAGCAGGCCACGTGTCCTTAGCTGTGCATGTCTGTCCCTCAGGTGCATGAGCTGCACATACACAGCAGCTATGCCTGTTTTAAGGGAAGCTTCATACCTTGATAATGCAGAATTTGAGGCTGCTTGTGAAGGAGGGTAAAGCAGGAGAAGCTTTGATCTCTTTCAGGTCTGGCAGTACATCACTTTGATGCGGCGGATTTTCCTCATCGACTGCCCGGGTGTAGTTTACCCATCGGGAGACACAGAAACCGACATTGTGCTGAAGGGAGTGGTGAGTGTCTGCAGACAATGCTGGGAAGGCCTGTGTTATCCTGCTATTGATCCAGCTGAAAAGACGTGAATGCTGATTTCACTCACCCCAGGGGTAGCTTGCGATTTGTACACATAGCAGACTTCAGAAAGGGGATGAGGCAGGAACCATGCTGTTTGGTCCGACCGTAGGATGGCATAGAGTTCTAGGAGCTGAAGCAGTATGCACATGTGGTATCTTAGTTTATGTGCAGAGTAAAGAGCAGTTTTATGCATTTGAACCAGCGTGATACATCTGTGGCACGTGTTTGATCTTTCATTAGAATCTCTGCATTGCTTGGGACTTAGTAGAATTTCTGCAGTAATGGAGTGTAAAAAAGTGCCACTTTTCCTTTTAAAATCAAGCTCGAAGAGTTTCCACTGTAGATGGCAGGAGGAAGTTGGAGAGGAGCTACTGGGGCTGAAATTAGTTCACAATTGTGCTTGCCCAGAGCATCTGAGACTTTGAATTTGGTCTGACCTACAGGGATGCTCACAGGGGCTGGCCCTTTGTTTCTCCCTCGTTCTTAGGTTCAAGTTGAAAAAATAAGAAGCCCAGAAGACCATATTAGTGCAGTGCTTGAAAGAGCAAAGCCAGAGTACATCAGCAAGACATACAAAATTGATACCTGGAAAAATGCAGAGGATTTCCTTGAGAAACTAGCCTTCAGGACTGGAAAACTGTTAAAGGTGAGCCAGATTAAAACACTGAATCTTTACAGCTCTGTGTAACCATGTGTGAGTAGTGAGTGTTCATGTAAAATCCCATATTCTTCATTGGGAATTCAAATCACCAAGTTACTTTGAGGTGATGTGGAAGAGGTTACCTTTTCCCATAGCGAGAGCAGACACAAATCATTTCTGTGCTGTTCCAGGGTGGAGAACCTGACATGCAGACCGTGAGCAAAATGGTCCTTAATGACTGGCAGAGAGGCCGTATACCATTCTTCGTTAAACCACCGAATGCAGAACCAGGTCCTCAGGTGAGAACACTTCTATTCCTGCAGACAAGGTAACCCATTTCCCTTTTGCATGCTGTTTCACACATACAGAATAAGAAGTGACTGTCTAGGAAGGAGTACTGATGAAAGGGATTTAGGGGTCATAGTGGACCAGAAGCTAAATATGAGACAAATGTGACACTGTTGCAAAAAAAGCAAACATGATTCTGGGATGCATTAACAGGAGTGTTGTGAACAAGACATGAGAAGTCTACTCTCACTGCTCTACTCTGCACTGATTAGGCCTCACTTGGAATATTGTGTCCAGTTCTGGGCACCACATTTCAAGAAAGATGTGGACAAACTGGAAAAGGTCCACAGAAGAGTAACAAATTATTAAAGGTCTAGAAAACATGATCTATGAGGGAAGACCGAAAGAATTGGGCTTGTTTAGTTTGGAAAAGAGAAGACTGAGAGGGGATATGATAGCAGTTTTCAAGTATCTAAAAGGGTATTACAAGGAGGAGGGAGAAAAATTGGCTTCTGAGGATAGGACAAGAAGCAATGGGCTTAAATTGCAGCAAGGAAGGTTTTGGTTGGACATTAGGAAAAACTTCCTAACTGTCAGAGTGGTTTAAACAAGGAATAAATTGCCTAGGGGGTTTGTGGAATCTCCATCACTTGAGGTATTTAAGAGCAAGGTACAGACATCTGTCAGGGATGATCTAGACATCTAGTGCTTGGTCCTGCCGTAAGGGCAAGTGACTGGACTTGATGACCTTGAGGTCCCTTCCAGTTTTAGGATTCTATGATTCTATTCTTAGTAGCTTCACTAGCATAGCTAAGGATGGCTTTCCCTTAGTGTTTCAGGTAATGCTCCTTTGAATTCATAGACCTGAGAAAACGCATGTAGTAGGAATGTAGCAATGTCCTGACCCGTTTTTTGAGATGGTTTATATTGGTTAACATGCAGACATTTTGGTAACTTTCACAGCATTAACTGGTATTTAATATGGGTGGAAATAAATTCTCTTTTTCCAAAGAGATTATTGGAAATTTGTTTGTTTAAACTTGTGCATAGGATTAGAACTTTTGTAGTAATTAACCATTCAGGACAATTACCTCTTTGGCCATCACCTCTCTGACCTGGGGATCTGCATCTCTCCTTCCTCAGTAGGGTATTTCCAGGCTGTATTGTTCCCTTGCCTACATTGTCAATTCCCGGCCAAGTCACGCTGCCTAAGAAGGCCTGCTCTGCTTTTCTCTGCAGAGGCTATAAACAGCATAATTTATCACCGTTAAGTTACCACACAGTTCTTTCTAGATAAGCACACTATTTCTTAAGATAAAAGCACTAAAGAGAAAACACAAAAAATAATAAAATAACCTACACGCATGTGAAGAACCTTACCAGAGATCATGCGGGCTCTGGCAAGTAACTTGTCCTTCAACCCTCACCAAGGGGTTTGCTGTGGTCACAAGTTCTGAACAGGTATTAGCTTAGAACAGGCACCCCCGTGGGTCTGAGAGTCATTTCTTTATAAAGTAGCCCAGTGTCTGAGAGTCTGTAACGCCAAAATGCTGGCTGTTCCCTCTGGGTGGCCCATGCTGCATGGGGAGTGCGGGGCCGAAACGGCCACTTGCTCCGCTTGCTCCTCCGTGGAGGCCCAGCTAGCGGTGCAGAAGTCAGCCGAGTGCCACTGCGGGAGGAGAAGGGGGGGCAGGGTGGTGATGTTCATAGCCAAGGGGTGGGGCCTGGAGTGGCTCCGCAGTCCTCCAAGTGAGAGGCAGGAGGGGGAGGAGAAGAGAAAGAGAGAGACAGAGAGAGGCAGAAGGTGGAGGAGAGCTAAGATGGGAGCGACCATGTGGGCTCCGTGCCCCCCATGCAGCACAGGGAGTGCGGAGCCCAAACGGCCATTTGGGCTCCGCAGTCCCCCGAGTGAGAGGCAGGAGGGGGAGGAGAAGTGAAAGAGAGACAGAGAGAGAGGCAGGAGGCGGAGAATAGCTGAGAGAGAGGGGGAGGCAGGAGGCGGAGAATAGCTCTGAGAGATGGAGCGAGAGACCGGAGGCTCAGGAGAGAAGACGGATGTGGAGGAGAGACCTGAAAATCCTGTCTTATGACAGGCTAATTGGCTAGTTTCTTTATGAGAGTTGGAACATTGATCTGGGAATAGGTAATTGACAACGGGCTCCTCAGGATGAAGCTTCAAAAGGCTGAGTTCTTACCAATGAAAGGGGCTGTGTGCACAATCCACCTTGCCTTAGAGTTTTCCTCGGAAAACCATGTAATTTTGAAAGTTCACTGTATTTCAAATGGCCCTTTAAAGCCCTTATCTGAAGAATAGCCTATGAATTACTTATTCAGTAGTTCTTGGATTGCAGTGACTCTTGGATTGTTTCAAGTTTTTGCCAATCAGTAGCAACAGTAGATATTTTTACCACTAGCTGTTCTTTAGGGGGTTGCATATATAGTCAGTCACAGCATATAGACCTGAGACCCTTGATGGAGTTTCTGGAATTGTGCGCACTCTTTCAGGACTACTTGTTTTTTGAGGAATGTAGATTAATGTGAACTGCTATGATATGCAAAAGAGAGGGTACCGTCTATAGGACGTGGTAACTGAAGGCAAATTATCTGACTATACTAATTGTTTTTGAGTCAGTTTACTGCCCTAGCTTGTCCCTACCCAACAGCATGGCGGGAAGACAGGTCACATGAATGATCTGGTACAGAATGTTGGTGGTCAAAGTGCATTTGAATGTAATGAGGTCACGGCTGTTAAGATCTTGCCTGGAGGGTGAAATGCCTGGGGTGCAACTCACCTTCCTTTCTCTTGCTTATAGCCCTCATCTTTAGAAGTAGCTCCAGCGCCAAGGCAACCTGACAGTGATGAGCAGAGCTCGGAGCCTGTAGCTTTGAACATGGAAGCAGTAGAAGAGGAGAACAAAGCAGAGACAGAAATGAAGCAACTCATGTCTCGCGTCCGGCAGAACTTCGGGAAGATTAATGTGGCAACTGAGTTCTTGGAAGAAGACCTGGTTCCTGTAGATACCTCAGATATTGACAAAATGGACAGTGATCCTTCTGGGGGAGAGGAGGAGGAGGAGGAAGAGCAACAAAACTTAGAAGAGGACTCCAGTGCCCGTGGAGAAGGTGCCAGGGAGGGCGCCAAGGCAGTTATTAAAGTTTTGGATGAAAAAATTGCAAAATACAAAAAATTCCTGGACAAAGCCAAAGCCAAGAGATTCTCAGCAGTAAGGTAACACATTCTGTTCAGTTTTGAGAAGAATTGTACCAGAGAAAACACCAGGCTGAATTCAGTCCTGTTACTGGGTTCACTCGGTCACATTTTATTCAGCTGCTTCTGTGTGTTTGGATTTCTGTTGTAGGGCAATCTATTCACCTTAATTGAATAATCTTTTCTCAGAACCAATCATTTACTTAGTTGAATTTCACAGGCAAAGGCTAATTTGCAGCAGCCTCCCCTATCTCCCCCACCTGCTTCTAATAGAGGCAGCAGGGGCTCTCCCCAGCATCATCTCCTGTTCTCTCTCCCCTCTCCCCCCCTCCCCCCGACCTGCACCCCCGCTGCCTCTTATACTCAGGCAGCAAGCAGGGGGAGTGAATAGTCGAGTGGTCAGCTATTCTCTAACATCCCTAGTTAACGCTGAAATCTTGTTTGATCTTTGACGTAGTAAGGACAGTGGTTGTAGCTTAATGTATCCCCTGGACCTGCATGCATCCCTGAGACATGGCTGGTAGATAATGCTGGCCCAGTTTTGGCATAACTAGGTCTGCAGGGATATCTGGAGGTCTCCCACCAACATTGTGCATGACAAAGGGGATGGGAGCAGGGTTGGCAATTGCCCAGAAAAACTGGTTTAGGACAGGGCTCTGGTTTCAACGCAGTTTAAACAAGGAAACTGGTAGGTGTTTAAAAAAAAAAAAGAGGGCTGGGGGTGGGTTTCAATATACTAATGACATTACTGAAAAACTACCCAGTTGCTAAATATTTTTTTGGAATGCATATGATATTGAAAACTGAAACAAACCCTGACATTTTCCTTGAGGAAAATACTGAATCAAATAGCACAGACATTTCTATGTTTAGTATGATCTACTATATATCTGAGAGAGTTTGTGAGCAAGCAAGCGAGTCTATTTGTCCATATGTCTGTCTGTCTGTGTGTCTCTCTCTCTCCTCCCCCCCCCCTTCTAAAACTCCTAAATGGTAAGACCTGGGACCACTGAATTTGGTATTCAGCTTCCTCTTACCATAACTTGAAGCAAGGTAGGGATTTGTTTCGGGAGGGAGGGACTGCAGCTTCCTGCACTCCCATTCATACAGGAATATTGCTGGCTGCTGTGGTGAGAGAGGGCTGGGGTTGTCCTGGAGAAGCTTGCATACTGATCCTCTTGTCCTCAGCCCCCACCCAAGAGCAATGATTTAAATGAAGATAAACAAAAACTGAGTTAGGGACCCGAGTAATGCCGGTAAATCTTCTAGTGTTACATATATCGTTATAACATCCATTGCAGTTTTACGCTTTATTTGTAAACCCTAAGTAATCTCTGAATCTGCCTTATGTAACCACCATTTCAGTGTGTAACTAAAACTAACTAATGCAGTATGCAGTTTAAAAAAAGTTTTTAAACCTGAAAATTCCTTAAACTGGGATTAACTAGTTTTTCCTGGGGCAGTAGACACCACCTATAATTCCTCTCTGGTGCCAGGGTTGATGTTTTCATTCTCCTTGCACTGTACAAGGTGACCAGCCCTGGAGACAAGATTGTTTGATCATCTGTTTCCTGAACATGGTTGAAGTTTATGGCTTTGCTGGTGTTTAGGCTGCTAGGATCTGTGGCGGAATTAACACAGTTCTCAGAAGTGCTAATGGAGTCCCTTCATAATATCCTAGTAATCCAGGACTGGAAGGCACCGCAATAGACCATCTAGTCCAGTCCCATGCACTAGGGCAGGATGAAGTTTTATCTAGAGTTCTAGACCATCTTTGACAGGTGTCTTGTCTAACCTGCTCTTAGAAACCTGACAGGGATTCCACAACCTGCCTAGGTAACTTGTCCAAGTGTTTAATTACCTGAAAGGAAATTTTTCCTAAAATCTAACCTAAATTTTTCTTGCTGCTGTGTAAGTACATTACTTGTTGTCCTGTACTCAGTTAAGAAGAACAATTTATCACCCTCTTTTAAAGCACCTAAAAGGTTGTTACAAACTGTTGTCCCCCTTAAGTTTCCTCTTCTCCAGCTTAAACACACCTCATATTTTCAATCTTTCCTCATGAACTATGTTTTCTAGAGCTTTAATAATTTTTGTTGCTCTCTTGTGCTACTTTCTTTGCTGTTTTCTTGCATGCAGATAAGTTTGGACAGGCTACGCTATCTGGCAGTAATGGACTTTGTGGGTCTTACCCAGAGGGCTGAGAATGCCGCAGCAAAACCATGACTTTGTACACAGTTTGGGTATCATGCAGCCTTGTTTGAATTGGTTATGAGACTGTTAATTTCAAAGTGGCTTTCTGCTGGGCACTATGGGCACTGTTTGTTTATAGGCGGGAGAGACCTATACCATGGTGCTGCATAGGACTAATACAATCCCATGAGAATGTCTCCCTGCTTTATCTGTTGCAGAATCCCCAGAGGGCTCAGTGAAAAGGTATTCAGAATATCTGAGCAGAAGTCAGAGGAAACCAAAGAACCAGAGACCACAGGTAATAAGAAAAGGTCTAGTGATACTCCCGGTCTTAGTGCAGGAACTACTTCTAGTCCCTAGTTTCCCTAAAACTATTTAAAACTTGCTGAGGAGTTAATGTGACTTGAGGGCTCCTTGCAGTGCTGTCAGCTCTCACTGGGTTTGTCCCGCTTGTGAATGTTCTGCCTCCTTTAGCCGTGTGAATGAGGGCTAAGGGCTGGTGGAAGAGTCTTGGTGTATTTCAGGCTTGGATGGAGTGATGAATGGCTCGCATAGCACTCCCTATGCTTGGCAATAGTCTCCCTTCCCAGGGAAACATGGTGAGCCTTGAGCTGATGACTTCCAAGATCTTGTTTCCTTTGCAGTCGCCACTGAGAGAACTCTATTCAGGAGTCAGGGTTTCAAATCAACAGATGGCAATTTGACCCTGACATGTTATGGATGTGCATGAGGTGGTCCCATTAAATTGAATCTTGCACAGCTGCTTCAAAAGTCTGTCCTTTTAATAGCAGCTCTTATCATATCAAATGTCAAATAGATTGCTGACAGAACAGACCATATGTATTAAAATGTGGCTGGTTCAACACTGGCATTGTTCCACATGCTGAAAGGCAGGATTGGCATGGAACCAGATGCCTTGACCTATGCAAACAGAGATCATTGCTGGAAGGTGTTTCTAACTGTTTAAAATACTACTTTAAGGGTGCACAAAAAAGGGAAAGAAAAGGAAAATACAAGAGGAGGTTGACGATGCCCTGGAGGGTAAAAAGCCTTGCAAGAAGCTTACATCCAAAGAGGTTAGTGTCACCACCTCTAATCGGAGCTGCAGAGGGCAGGGAGTGGATGCTTTGGCTCCTTTCAGCTTCCTGAATGTTGAAGCTTTGGGGATGGTCTTGGGAAGTGGTGTTCAATTGGGGTGACCAATGCACAATGCTTGGTAATCTACATGGTCAGTCTACATGGCTAGCAGACAGTAAGAGTAGTGTTGTGCTCACAAGTGACCAGGCATCCTGGAAAGAGATGAGCAGCCTGCTTTACATCTGTGAGAAGGGGGTTGAAAGGGTGAAGTCTCCTTTCTGGATGGTCTGTCTTACTGATGTCAGTACAGGTGTCTGTGCACTGAGAGAAGGGGGCTTGAATAGGCCTTCAGAAGGCAATAGGCGATGGATGTTCTATTGTGTGATCAGTCCTCACTGCCACACCTATAACTTCTAGAGCTGTTTTTTCCTGGGTATTGCAGTAAAGCCTGAAGGGACCATCCAGATTTAACATAAATATCAACCCCATTCATGCAATTCTAGGCCTTAAACACAGTTGTTTCAATGACTGATGTATCAAATCTCCCTTCAAGGCCTTGCTATGAGAAACAACCTGCTGCAGTTGATAGGGAATAAAACTGGGAGCCAGGTGATCTGATGTGGGCTCTGCCACAAGTTTACACAAGCCTGTTGGATCTCCAAGCCTCCATTTCTGCTGTTGTGTAATAGGGTGATCTTTTACCCATCTTTGCTGTGCACTTTGAGATCTGTGCAAGAAAAATCTATACGCAATATCTTATTCAAGCTCATGGTGAAGAATTTATTTCTGATCATTTCACCTGAAAATGAACAATATGATGAAAGCCAAACCAAAGAGCTCTGTGGAATGTGTTGGTTTTACTATGTGCCTGTCTCTTTGCAGAGGAGAAGAGCTGAGAGGCAGCAGCACACCAAGAAAGTTGGGGTCCGATACTATGAAACTCACAACGTGAAAAATAAAAACCGGAACAAGAAGAAAAGTGACTCAGAGGGACAGAGATCAAAGCACAAAAAATTTAAACATAAACAATAACTGGGGCTTTTATTAAATTTTACATAACCAGTGCCTTTAGTTCGCAGTTTTTTCTTCATGTACAACATGCAGTTCTAAACTTGAAGCCCAGCCATGGATCTTGGTTTGTTGGGAGAGAGCATCGCACTTGCGTCACATACTCATTTTAATGCTTTTTATGCGTAAACACACCTGGCTGACATTAGTTCATGCTGTGATCTAGCACTAAATTAAACCTAGAAACAAATTACAAAGTTGTTTTGGAGAAGGGGTGAATTGAGTTAAGAGCTGCAGTTCGTGGTGTAGTATCATAAAACTAGGAGAAACTCATGAGGTCACCAAGTGCAGTCCCCTCCACTCATGAAGGATACTGCACCGATGTGATTGTCCCTTTCAGATGTTTGTCTAACCTGCTCTTGGAATCTTCAATGATGAAGATTCCTGTATGTGCCTTAGTCAGTAAACAATATAGCATCAGACTAGTGGAAGTGATTGCTTGCATTCATGCCATAGGTTGAGCCTTCTTCCTCACTTAAGTTTAGCCATGTGTTCCTGATAAATAGCGTGTCATGCTTCATTAACTGCCTCTTACTCTGCAAGTCATATCTCTGTATCATGAAACAACCACACAATTAGGCAGTGTCCTGCACAACTGCTTATTAAGAGACCTGGGGGATTGGGAAGGGATATGGCAGATGGGGAGGCATTGGAAACATGTGCCTGGGGCAGGAGTACATTCACAGGACTTCCAGCCTATTAGCCATTATTAACCAGATGAATTTTATTTAATAAGAGCTATGTTCATTGTGGGATGTAAGTTACATTGTGTTCTAGTGCTGTTGCCAGAATAAGATGCTGCTTTCCAGAGTAACAAATTATCATGCCCCTGGAAATGGCAGTAATTGATCTTTATTGAGCATCAAAGACATGGTGTAAAGTTGCAGTGAAGCTGAAAATTCTCACTTCTGCATGTGCAAGGTTATCTTGGGAGTTCTAATAACTGTGAAAAGCAAACACTGGTCCATTTCTTGGGCCATTCAACCAGCCACAACTCTTGAGCATCATGCATGTGACATACCTTGGAAATGTTCTTGTGTCTTTGAAGCTATAGAATCAGTGGGTCCTGCTCTTACTTAAATTGAATCCCTTGTCTTAATTTCTTGCTGGAATGAGTAACCACACTGCAGCTTGTTAGGACTGCTGAGTCCCCAAGAGTGATTTTGGCAAAGGAATGAGCCTGGGATAAATTAAGTTTCAGGCTGAAAATGAGCAAGGAAAAACTGAAGCAATAACAGGAAATACTATTTAATTAGGTCATTCACAAAATGGAAGTCTCTGTAGGAGACTGAAGTCTTCAGTGTTGGACTTCTGCCACTATTCAATACACAGTTGGGTAGCAGGGCCTAGACTAATCAAATTGGCCTTTCTTAGAATTTGGAGAGTGTCTGAGCAATGTTTAATGTCACACGGGCAATTTCAGGCTAAGGTTTTAAACATCCTTTTCAAAAACTTCTTGTACCATCATGGCAACAACAGACACAGCAGGATGAAAAACAAGCATTCTTCCTTGAACAGAACTGCCCAATGGGTGTGGAAGTGTGTGGCTGTAGTGAAATGAGGAGTACTTTAACTGAGGCTATTCTTGCAGAACTATATTGAAGGCTGAAAGAGAATCAAATTGACTGAATGCAGCTTACAGAATCTCCTTGGCAAAGAAGAAAATACAAGTTGATGTAGAAACTGTGAGGGCTTATTGTGAAAATGTTGAAAGAGTGAAGATTTTGTGTTCTGAAACAAAGGTCTATAGTCTGAGACACCAAGCCCACCATCCCAAGAACAGGGTAACTTGCACTGATTTGTTCCCAGCACCTTTTGCTTGAAGAATGGATTGTGTGGATTTTTTTTTTTTTTTAAACTTACAAAATCTTTAATCCCTCACAATTTCCTCTTTTCTGGCTACTAGGCTGTCTCTAGACTGGCATGTTTTTCTGCAGAATCAGATGATTTTGTGGAAAAACTTGCCAGCTGTCTACACTGGCTGCTGAATTTCCGGAAAAGCACTGATGATCTCATGTAAGATCGTCAGTGCTTTTCCGGAAATACGATGCTGCTCCCGTTTGGGCAAAAGTCTTTTTCCGGAAGACTTTTGCGCAAAAGGGCCAGTGTAAACAGCACAGTAGTGTTTTCTGCAAAAAAGCCCCGATCGCGAAAATGGCGATCGGGGCTTTTTTTGCGGAAAACCGTATCTAGATTGGCCACGGACGCTTTTCCACAAAAAGTGCTTTTGCGGAAAAGCATCCTGCCAATCTAGATGTGCTTTTCCGAAAATGCTTTTAACGGAAAACTTTTCCATTAAAAGCATTTTTGGAAAATCATGCCAGTGTAGAGGTAGCCCTAGACTCCAAGATAATGGAAAAAAGGATTTAACCCTTAATTGAGATCATTCGCAGCTTCTATTTTCACAGCACAGGGAAAGTTAACTTAAATGATTCCTTTTTGCAGCTACATTAAGTCCAAATTCCATTTGTTAGAATTCATGATAGGTGCACTTGATGTACCAATTTCTACTTTTAGAGGCTGTCGGTATGGCTAAACAGTAGCTTTCTCCTCTGAGCTCAAATTTCCTAATAAATGATTTCCTTTAGTGAACAATAAGACAAACCTATGCAACTGCCAGGAAAATGCTTTAAATTTTCTTTAGTGAAAAGTTATCTGGTTATTACATAGCAAAGACTGTTAAGTCTTTAGGAAGGACTTAAATCTACTATATTTGTTAGAGAGTTTGTTTGATCAGAACTCCTCCTAAATGGTATGAGCAAGGACCACCAAATTTGGCAAGCAGCTTCTTTTCATCCTAACTTAAAGCAAGGTCAGGGTTGGGTTTTCAGGAAAATGGGATGGGATTGTGTTTCATAAAATCAAACAGAAAAGAGACTATCACCAAATCAAGTACAGTCCTCAAAATTGACATAACTGAGAAAATGTGGAAAGACTGAACCATGATGAACCAAGAATAGGATTGCTTCTCAGTAAACCTAACAGAAGAGAGGTAAAACTGAGAAATTTGGAGTCGTGCTCAGTTTTGGCACAGCTAAATCAATACTTTGTCTGAAAGCTAGAAGACAGGAAACCAAATTGACTATAGTCTTTAAGACATAGCAAGGGTTTATAGGATTGAAGAAAAAATAAACTTGATGGATTTCCCTTTTTTAAAATACTAAAATTAATAACAGCACGATTTTGAAAAATACAATAATTTCCAATTAAACATGTACATTTTCCTTTTATTTAAAAAAGTTAAGGAGTAATGTCAAGTAATCTGCTAGTATTACATAAAGTGAATTGGCTCTCTTGGGTTTGAGAGCAGAGCTGCTCTAGTTACAAGAGTGGGTTTCATCAAACCGAAATTAAAATAAAACTTGTTTTAACCATTACAGGCTGTAGGCAATGCAGATAAATATAACTGTTGCAATCTACAACATTTACAGTTGGGTACTTCTGGCATGCAGTCTCTGGGGTTTGTCTATCATCCATCCTACAGCATCAAATTTCAAAGGGTGAACTGAGGCACTGAACTGTATGCCAGAGAGCACGTTTGAGATCTGTAGACATTATTTGCATGATGGTAGTCTAGAGCAGGGGCGGGCGCAAACTTTTTGGCCCCAGGGCCAAATCTGGATAGAGCAATTGCATGGTGGGATATGAATGTAGGACTGGAATAAGGGGTTCAGAGTGTAAGAGTGGGTTCAGGGCTGGTGTGTGAGCTCCAGCTAGGTAATGCTTACCTTGGGTGGCTCCCAGTCTGCAGCCTAGGACTAAGGCAGGCTCTCCCCTGCATTGGTCCTATGTCGCTCCACGAAGCAGTCTTCATGTCCAGCAGCAGTTTCTAGGGGGAGGGGCAGGCAGCTTGGTGCACTGTACTCACCAACAGGACCTGCCCTACAGCTTCCCTTGGCTCCTCATTCCTGTCCAATGGGAGCAGTCAGGATGGCATCTGCTCATTAAGGCAGTGCACAGAGACCTTTGCCCCCACCCCCTTCCAGGGGCTGCAATGAAGTGCTGGTTGCTTCTAAGAGTTGCACAGGCCTAGGCAGTGGGGGAACCTGCCTTACCACGATTGTGCTGCCAGACTATAACACTGAAGATCAGATTAAAAGCCTTGACAGGCTGCTGTTTGACCACCCCTATTGTACAGGGGACTGCCCTGGTGGGCTGAGAGTCTCGTATGAATTGGGGTACTGATGCTGTGGAAGATCAATTTATAGAATTGCTGCTTACTGCAAACGGCTCCTTGCTGGCTGTTTCTCCTCATATACAGGTTGCATGTACTGAAGGTGCTGCTAATAGTTTCTAAGGCAGACATGCCATTGCAGTAGGCACTGAGATGAGAACACCCCCTTGGCTAAAAGGCTGGGGATTACAGTATGAAAAATAAGAAGGTGTAGGTGTTCTAGCTGAAGGGAAGTGAGGACACCTAGGTTATGTCTACACTCGCAGCCTCTTGTGCAAGTATGGCCATTCTTGCGCAAGAATCCACAGAGCGTCTGCACTGCCTGCTCGCTCTTGCACAAGGAAATTTACAGTACGGCATGGAAAGAGAGGGCTTCTTGCACAAGAGCTACGCTCTTTTTTTAACAGGTGTAAGCCCTCTTGCTCAAGAGGGCAGTGTGGACGCTCGGCAGGGATTTCTTGTGCAAGAAAGCCCTATGGCTAAAGTTGCCGTCGGCGCTTTCTTGTGCAAGAGAGTGTCCACACTGCCATGGGCGCTCTTGCGCAAAAGCACAGCTCGCACATGGCAGTGTGGACATTTTCTTGCGCAAGACTTCTTGCACAAGAACTCTTGTGCAAGATGTTCTTGTGCAAGAAGCTGCCAGTGTACACATAGCCCAAGTGACCCAACATTTGCTTGGATGGATAATGAGGTAACTATGCATAGTAATGAATGGTAAACCATAAAGATAACATATTGCTGGAACCAAGATGGGGTCTCGTGCAAAAAATGCACCAAAGACTATTCACAATGAAGGGCAAGTCTTGTCCTCTAACTAAAACTGACACTTTAAATTGGCACAGTACTCCATGAACTGCCTGTTGAACACTGGAACCAAAGGTATCGGATTCCATTTTGTCCTGTTTTACAAATTCATACTCCAGGGTAGGTACAGTTGATGTATGCTAGGACTCAGCAGAAAGTGAAGTGTATCACAGAAGTGTACTGAAAATAGAGATGTGGGATTCATTTCACAGTAGCAATGAAGGTGCTGGGCCAGACAAGTGAATGTGAGGAAAGGCAGGAAGCCAAGCAGAAAGGATAATGATGTTAAAGCATGCTTGAAAGAGCTATTCCTTCCCCCACACAGCTCGGAAGACCAGAAAGCAGGCTGGCCCCTTACTGTTCATATCCAGTATTATTGGCAGCTGTATAGCTTAACAGAAAGTTTAGGAATGTGGACCTGCTCCCAGCCCAGAAACAAAATATTCATTCAGCTAAAATGCATGTATTTGAACAGTACCCTCCATTTGATATTAGTCCCATGCTTTGTGTACAACATTTAACAGATCAGTAAAAGCAGAGGTGCTAATGTAAAAAAGTTTATTAAAAATAGTATGACCTTAACAGTGATAGGTTAGAGAATCACAGGCAAATCCCAGACATGTTCAGCATACAAAGAGCTGGATGCTGAAAAGTGACTGAAAATGAGGTCACAGTAATTAGCAAAGGATTTTGATCTATTAGAATAAGAAAGGAGAGAAGGAATGCAATTCAAATATTTCTAGTTACTTTTAAATGTGGAAATCAGAATCACTTTATGAAGGAGACAGACCTGGGTCAGTAACTACAACCGCCTTGCTCAGAGAAAGATTTCATGAGTTCTTCCTGCAGGGCCCCACAAGGAAATCTACTTCTTTGGTGCAATGATGCCTTCAAGTTGAGCCTGAAAGACAAATAACTCATTAAGCCAGACTAAACTCAAACTAAACTCCACTCCCCATTGCTAAAAGGGGACAGTTATCCATTATTTTGAGAGCGAGGGTACTAGAAAGTTATTAGAATATTCCAAGGGAACCTGGCCAGATTCACCAGTGATTTTATTCTTTACCCCATGTTGCATAAATTAGTGTTTCATTCTAGGTACAGACGTGTTGCATTATGAAAAGAAAACTCAAAGCTGACCTTGGTTCTACACAGTGAAAGACACATTTTATAATGTAAAGTATTGAAAAGGAAATTTGAAAAAGTGGTTTGTTCTCCGACTTCAGGCTGTAATATGCTTGCTAAATTAAACATTTGGCTCTTGGGCTTTGGAATGCGAGCTCTGACTCAGAGACAAAAGTATCTGGAAACTGCAAATTTTTCAGTCACTGAGAAAACTTGACGCCCAAGTCCTGGATAAAGGAACTTTGCTACTAATGCACAGAGAGCTTGTACTGTATGAAACTTCCAGAACTTACATCAAAAAAATAAGTGGCAGCAATTGTAAGTGCACAGCTCTTCATAAATGCTTCTGGCTTAGGAAAGGAACATGGATTCGGTAGCAACAGATCTTTGGCCTAATGGCTACCTCTGGCCTAAGACACTGCCTGCTGGTCTGACCTTGTCAGATTATCTGATATGAAGTCTAGAGTGTTGATGTGATAAAGTCAGAGATAAGGAAAGTAACTCTAAATGTTAATAAAGAGATTGAGATCTGGCCAGGAAGGTTCTGGGTTGTTTTAATAGACATTTTTACCACAAGCATGAGGTAACTTTTCAACAGCAACTGAAATGTTATCCTGGGATCAGCTAACACAAACCCTGCTTTCATCAAATTAAATATTTTTGGCTTGGAGAACCATCTTAATTGCCAAAGCCAGGGTGCTTTGTTTTAGAATGAGAGTTCTTCCCTGTCTCAGAAAGAACTGCCATGATCCACACATATCAACCAGCCAAGGACAGCCATGGGAAGAGTTATTTTGACACATTCTGGCTCCAGGAGAGAGCACTAGCAGACAAATGGAGAACTACTACTACTTACAATACAGTAGTTAATGCTTTAATCTGAACCAAGCAAATGCTTCCTGCCTCAAGAACCCAGTTAGTAATGCATCCCTGACGTTTACTATCCGTAATTCTGGTGTACAACATAGGGGAGAGACGAACTCGATTGCACTGAGGATTATGATCCCAATGCATTGAACGTGTTAGGAAAAGATTGAAAGTTCACAGACTCAGCCTATGTGACTCAAGTTTCTTCCAATTACTTGGGCGGCCAGTGGAAACACACTTTTTTTTACATTTGTAACAAAAGCTCCTATTCAAAAGCTCTTCAACCAAATCTCAGAGTTGCTTCTGACGCAAAATCAAGGTCTGAAGGTCAGCAGAGGATAGGGGGTAAGTAGTTATTGTGGTGGTCTATGTCAGACAGCACAGCTAGAATATGCTACAGCAAAGTTTACCAACTGTTTACATGAGGTCAGATAGGTGGCACTCCTGTGACATAAGCCAGAGGCCAAGAAAAAAGGAGGAGGAAACCACTTTTCTCTCCTCTCCTCCAGCCCCCACTACAAAGGTGAGACCAAACAAGAAGTCAGTAGGATCCATTTTGAAGATATAAGGCATAGACTAATATAAATGAATTTTTGTGCTTTTATACATTATCTCCCCAAAGCTAGGAAAGTTTATTGTGTGTGTCTTTATAGAAGGGGTTGCTCCTGATAGTCTGCATTGTTTATACACTGAAGGAAAAAGGTGAAATGATATGTTTTAATTTTTTTTATCTATCAAAGTCCCTTCTGAAGTAGTTTCTAACTTCAGGTACACTGCTTACCTCTCACTCCACTCCAGCAGTAAATGAGTATTTTACAACCTACCCCTTCATTGATGGATGAAATCCAATTACTATTACTCAAGTAAAACCCCAGACATGGATAGGGATGTGAATGACTAGTCGACTATCCGAAAACCAAACGCTTATCGCATAGTAAACACACTAGCCGACTAGTCACTTCCCTCTATCAGAAAGAGACAGCAAGTGGGGTGGGGGGGAAGAGGGTGCTTCAAAGCAGCAACACCATGTGGCGCCTGGGGCCAGAAATGCTGTGTGCAGTCTAAGAAATGCCGTGTGCTACACTTCAAAGGCGGAGGCGCCAGCATCAACTAATCAAATAGTTGATGCAAATTGCAGTGACTATTCAATTAGCCAATTAATCAAAATTTTACATCCCTAGACATGGATGGGAGAAATGCCCTCATTACACTGAAGCCCAAAGGAGTTTTGTCCCTTACTACAATAGTTCATTTTAAACTGCCCCTTGTCATAAAGGATAGGATTCTAGTATTTTTTGGCCAACAGCAAAAGAATAATTATGTGTTCCTTGTCTGCCTTATTTGGAGCATCCCGTTTTGTACGAATGAGGCTTTAAAAATAAAACACTTTCTCAGATTTTTTGTATCTTCTGCTGACAGCTAACTGTTCTAGAGTCGGGTCGACACAAAAAGTCAGTCCTTAAGCATCAGTCAGGTTTAAAACATTTTAAAAGTCCCCTAAATTCTGAAATCTAAAGTGCCTCAGTGCCTAGGAAACAACTGCAATTATGCATTCAATAACTGATCAGTGAACCAATATTAAAAGCTTTGGGGCCATTTGAACTACCTGTCCATTATGCATTCTATAGAGCTGCAGAGAGCTTTAAAAATTTGGAGAACGTGAAACATTACTGCAAATTAGCAAGGAACACAAACACATATGGCCTTTTCATTAAGAGAATAGCAATTAAAAGGAAAATTCATTTTCACGTTTCACTATTTACAAAGCAAATATTTCAGTTTTTTCCTACTAAGGCACTGCAGTCAGAGTTCTTTACTAACCTTCAATTGCTGATTAGTGCGCTTCAAGAACTGCACCTCTTCACCATGTTTCTTCTCCTCTACCTGCCGCCTTTCACTTTCACGTTTTTCAACAGCTTCACATTTAGCTTTCTGCTCATTGACTTGTCTTTCCAACTCTCGCTTTTCATCTTCTAATTCTAGAATCTTATAAAGAACATAGGTATGTCTGGTAGTCATTGTTATGTTTTTAAATACAATTAAAATATAAGATATAAATTTTACTATCTTTGAAGAAAAAAATGATAATCGACAATTTGTCCATTAAAGCAGCCTCAGGAAATCAGCAAGATGTGTTTTGATCTTTACTGCCACCCAGTGGAACTAGAAAACTTTTTTAAAAAGGTAAACAATATTTTGAAGCAGTTTATTGATCAAATCAGAAAATAGTGAAGGTTTTGTTTGTTGATTTTGTTTGCAAAAGAAATTGTCAGAGTGCTCTAATAATGTGAGAAAATCCCAATGAGCCAGGATGAGGAAGATGAGAAGCACATTTTTGAGCCAGATCATAGGTACACTATGAGTTTACAGCCTCACTTACTCTCTTTTCCATGTCAGATTTGCCCTGTTCAGCCTGTAATGCCTTCCTCATACCAAAGGCAACACTACTTTCATACAGTGTCTGATAAGCAGCGATGGTCATTCGGATTTCATCTCTGACTCGAAGCAGCAATAGTCCCCGCTCTGCACAGTTAATTGTAACCTCACGGATAAGTTCATCTTTAAATAAAAAAGTGTAACAGTAAACAGAGAGAGAGAGAACGTTTACACGGGTTTCAAGACAAACATTTTGACATGGGTCAGTGTGCTTGGCAACGTAATTATGGCCATGACATTTGTGGTGTTCAAGACAAGGTAGTGTAGACCTGAAGTTTCCTATGGCTAATGAATAACAAATTAATTATATTAATATATCTCTCTGACCCAGTGGCTGGTTTCCTCCTCCAGTCTCCAGGGTTGGTCTGTGACAGCAAGAAGAGTAACAAGGTGTAACCAAGATATTTAATTTATTTAACATGACAATCTAATTATTAGAGCATGAACTAAGTGTGGTTGAATGAATTTTTCCCTCCCATGCAAATATGCAACCCCAGCTTTCTATTCAATGCCCTGTTGCCACAGTGACACCTCCTCGGCATCAGCTTGTATATAGACATTTTTAAAAATATACTGTTCTGTAGACAAGCTAAAATTAAGAGGAAATACGCATGTGGCAACCATGCTTCATCTATATATGGTGGTGAGAGATGCAAGAGGGCTAATACAATATTTTTAGTAACAATGAAAGCTTTCCCACATGCACTTCCTTCTGCCAGTCTGTCTCAGCCCTGCACTGTAGGGGACTCATTAAAACCAAAAGAGGAAAATGCGTGTCCATTCTGACTGAGGGTTCTTTACTGAGACTTCATAAAGTAGCCTTCTTATGTTAATTCTGATGTGGATCTCTGCACCAAGAAATGAACTGAAATCAATAGGTCAGACAGACAGACATGGGATGGTAATGACCATAGTTCCTGCTAAGGTGTGCACCTGTGTGGCCATGCACACAAAATTCTTCCCTCATCCCCCTCCTCTGGAGAGCTTCACAGCAGCACTCACACAGCAGGTGGCTGCTCCTGTGGGTGGGGCCGGCTGAGATGACATGGTGAGGGAGCCACTGGGGCAGAGGGCTGGGACCTGGCAGCTGGGGCCAGGAACAGGACCTGCCGCATGGGGAGAGGGCTGTCTGCGCCAGCAACTGGGAATACGATATGCTACATGGCGGGGGGAGGGGCGGGTTTCTGCTCTGAAGGCTGGGAACATGTGTGTTAATAACTTGGGTGCCATAGTGGCACACATCCAAACCAGCGCACATGACCTCAGTATTGGTGCACAAGCCAAAATTCACTCTGCTCATGGTTGGAAAATCTTAGTGAGAACACTAGTAACGACTCTTATTCCTTCCTGACCAAGGTGGACAAGAATCCATACACGTTAGATAGAAGTCTCCACTTCCCATTCCCCATGTCCTGAGCTATTCAGAAACTTCTAGTATTATAGTATCCTTCAAACAAGCCTTTTGCTATAGTATCTTGGACCTAGATGTATTCACTGACCAAAGCATTGTGAGTAGAGTTCTCTGCGGACAGGACAAATCCCAGTTTCTCGAGCCTGCCTTTGCTGTAATTTGAGATCCAGCTCTTCCTGCAGATGAACTACATCCATTCGGGTACTGGGAGTGGTGGACACCTGCTGAATCCATAACTGGTTGTCTTCCACCCATTCTCTGCATCACAAAAGCAGCACAGACTAAATCAGCATATGCTTGAGCACTCATTTCCACCACAAACTGAAGGAATCCCATATTTTGTACACAAAAGCATGCAATGCAAGCATGTTCTCCTGCTTCCATTGTCAGTAGAATCGAGAGATCAAGTCAGCACAGATTCTGTTGATTGTCCTGATCCCTAAACAAATGCTAACTTTACATCCTTCATTACCCCTACTGAACTGGTATTTCAACAACAGAGGAATTTGATAGCATTTTACATAGCAAGTAAAGAACTTTTAACTACAGGATACTTAGATAACAGTAAACATAGCTAACTGTTCAGAATGGCAGTGTTCAGATATCCAGGCATGCTACATGGGCATCAAGCAAGACACAAGACTTAAAAAGGCTTAGGGACTGCTGTTTTGTGGCTGATACTGCATGTAGTAATCTGAAACAGCAGAAAACATTTCTAGATTATATTACTTTTGAAACGGATGTATAATTAATCAAGGCCACTCACTACCTCATAGGTATTGAGGAAATTAGAAAACATATTATGTAACTACCACTAATCAGTCAGCACCAACTATTAGATGAGCCACATGCACTGACGGGAACAAACATTTTATTTAGCTAGAAATCCATCTCCCAATCTCTCCCCAACGCTATTTTGTGACAGTCACTGAGGGCAGGTCTACACTACAAGGGACAGGTCAATCTAAACTACTCAATTTGAGTTACATTAGCAGCATAGCTCAAATTGACGTTTAGATCTACTTACCATAGGGTCCACAGTGTGGGGAGTCAACTCAAAAGTCTCCCATTGACTCCCCTTATTCATCTTGTTCTGCTAGAGTACCGGAGTCAACAGGAGAGTGATCAACAGTCAATATAGTGAATCTTTACTAGTGATGGATCGATGACTACAGTGTGGCTCCACCTTATAGTGACATGCCCTGACTCCTAACATTCAGAGCCCCTCACTGCCTGCCCCCAACCTTAAAATTTCACACTGATGACTTCTCCTGGGACCATGGTGAAAGGGTGCAAGAGCAGTTTCTTGCCTTGGTGGCAGGATTGCATTTAAGATTTCTTCTGCCTGTTTTGTTGGATCTACAGCTGTAGGAGTAGTCTTGGGTTTTGGAGGAGGCGGCACAGGTCCAGTTGACACTGGCTGCTGAGGACTCACTTTCAAAGGACGCGCCTGCAAACAAGAAACATACCAGGGCTATAAAGGCACGGCACATGTTTCAGCCAGGGTGCGTGGGGAAACCACACAGGCTCCCCATGCCCTCATCTCATGCAATTCCCTCTCCAACAGAATAACCCCTAGATTTCCCAGTTTAGGTCTCTCACATGCTCCATCACTTAAATTTCTCCCGGACTCACTTTCAAAGGACGCGCCTGCAAACAAGAAACATACCAGGGCTATAAAGGCACGGCACATGTTTCAGCCAGGGTGCGTGGGGAAACCACACAGGCTCCCCATGCCCTCATCTCATGCAATTCCCTCTCCAACAGAATAACCCCTAGATTTCCCAGTTTAGGTCTCTCACATGCTCCATCACTTAAATTTCTCCCGGCCCCCCCATAATCCCTCTTTCCCCATGAGCCCCCAGTTCAACCCGCCCCCCACCTCCAGCCCAC